TAGTGCGATGTTACAATCATAAGTGCTGCTATATGACGTCGATGATAAAATGTTGGTTTTTCGTTATTTTAATAAACATAATTAGCGCTGTTTTTCAACGTTATAAGCAATACGACTAATGATACGTTTTGATACATTTTAGATTCATTTCAGATAATTCTTGGTGCATCAAAGAATATGAATACTTTTTTGTCAAAAGATACATGACGATACCTTCGATATTATCAGATATTTTATTATGAGACCTTCGTCTATCTAAATATAAGTATTATGACAACATCTGCAGTGTTGGTGGGATAGGCTGATATGAGAATCTTTACATCTGTATAAGTCACTAACGAAGAAAAAGTCTATGCAAATCGTTTCGAAATAAATGGAATGACTTGTAGACAATATGAAACAAAAGAGGTGAGTGATTTCTCATACTTCAGACGATAAAAATGAGATCTTTTTCGTCGCTCTTAGAAATAAGACGAAAGAAAAAAACTGGGGGGACAAGATAGATTTTTTTTTAGAGTGTTATACAAGCTCTCCTTCTCTCTATAAATAGCGAATGCGTTATTAAGGTACGACATTTTTTAGATCATTTAAAGTATCTTTTTTATTCGAAGGAAATCTTTACGACTGAACTTGAACTTGAACTTTATTTACCGATAATGGAAGGACATGAAAAAAAATAGCTAAATAGCTAATCAAAAGGAGTATAATGTAGTCCAATTGAATTCTGTCCTATCTAAAGCTGGCTGTTAATTGAGCTACATTGTATTCAAAACTAAATCACTTTTGTGGCAAATGAAGTTTTATAACAATCTAATATGATATGATAGACAGACTTTGTTCTCATATTGTCATCAAAATCTTGAGCGAGACCATAGATACAGAAATGTCATAAGATCTTGACTAAATACCTAATATAAACGTTCATTACTCACGAATTGTTGAATAAAAACAATTAAACTATATCAAATGAAAGAAAAGACGAAAACTTATATATTTGCCTAAAATGCACATCATCGTTTTCTTTTCTTTTCTATTGTTACGAGACACTTATTGACACTATTTAGTAGTCAGTCTATAATAATAATAAAACTAAATTAAGATTTCTAGGTAAATAAAAGACTCTAATAGAAAAATCAATTGTATTCTATTTGCAATTTCTAGCATAAAGAAGAAATTTGATCGACACGTAGATACACATCAACAGCAAACAGAAAAAAAAATGATGTATATTATAATTATTGAATCCTGTCATTTTTCTAGAATTTATCACCGCATCTTTTTGACCACGTCTGTACTCTTTTATCATTTGTTTACTAGACAGACTGGAATAAACTGGAAATAAGCATAATTTCTAATATTTTTTTATCAATAATTAAGCTAAGAAGTAGATGTGTTAAATAAAAGTGGATTCTCACAAAAATAAAGTAATCAACATACCTTCGCCGAAAGTTCTTTAACAAGTTTCAAAATAGAGTTTGCGGTACATAATCCAACATATTTCCTTCTCTAACCTCTTGCTTTGTTCAATTTAACGAATTTAAATTGTACAAGTTGAGATAAAAGAATAGCATATTACTATCTGATATTCTAAAAAGAAAACAATTCAACTTCAACAAAAACTATTTTAATTCTAACCTACCTTATATATGACATTATTTTCAATGTAATATTAATAAAAACGAGCTGTTCTAAAAAAATTTTAAATAAGAAATAAGAAGTGTATGGTTTGTTCTATTTTGAAAAAGAAATGGAAAAGAACGCAGTATTTTTCCAATAAACATCTACAAGATGTTATGTTTTAGATAAATTCGGGTGTCAATGTTGATGATCCAAAAGATGGAATCTTTTTTTTTATATTATTCAATTTTCTTGTAAAAATTTGTGCGGAGCATTTTACAAAAGGAAAATGCTAAAAAAAAACGTCAAATGTTGACGTTTCCTCAGTGTAACGAAGATGTTTTTGATAAGCGATTCTTATGGACGAATGGAAGAGAATTACTGGTTAGGATGTGCGCATTCTCTCTCTCTCTCTTATGTATCATGTAACAAAAAATGATCTAAATTTTAGACACTGTCGGGTAAACAGTATTACTTTTCATCTCATTCTACGGATTGATTGAAAAATGAGCTCTCTCTTGTTTTTTTTTTAAAAAACTTTTGAGAAACAAAACAAAAATGAATAGACTCACCTTTCTCGTTCAAATGCACGTGATAATGTCATGATCTAGGTAGAGTCAGACAAATAAGAAACTGTGCACAATGTACATAGAAATCACTTCAATAAAAAAAATAAGAAATAAGAAAGAAATTTACACACATTATTAGATTTCATTTTCTAATATTTAGCATCTGGTGCTTGTCATCGTAGAGCGAAACATTAGAGAATATAAAAAATCCATTTAATACTAAATTATATACAACAATACGTTGAACAGATACTTGGTACACATGTACGGACAAAGAATAGACGATAACATCACTATATACAATGAAACAAGTGCGTTTACTTTATTAAGCTCAATGGGAGGTCATATGCTAACATTTCTCTAAGTTTGAAACACGGTGTTATGTACTTTCCATTCAACTTTCTGTTAAATTTTGTACATTGATCATTTATTTAACGTTTTGATGAATCAATGTAAATCAATATTAACTATACATATTTGTATTGCTGTTTTGTTCAATTTAGAATTTCATAAAGGGTATGTTTTATAATTTAATGAATATATAAGATATAAACGGTTTTAATTCGAAGAAAATAAAGAAAAATTTTGTTTTTGAACTCTATTAATAAGAGTAGAAAATAAAAATATCTGAGAAAGATCTTGATTCTTTGAAAATAATTTTTTTTTTAACGCAAAAATCATTCATTAGACCTAGAAAACAGATCTTTTTTATAGATCTCGATTTTCATCTTTTCTATAAAAAAATATGTAATAGAGCTCGATTTTCTTTTTATATATACATTTGAGAAATTAGGTGGAGTTTCTTGATATGTTGTTTCATCGAAAATTGCAAAAATAAATAAGCTGTCTTGATGTCAGTTATTTCAATCAATGACTTAGTATTCATATAACGATATTTTTAGATTGATTTGTTTGTATCCTGCTACATGTATATATTTCATAAATTATCAGAAAACGCCGAATAGCCGTACGCTAATAAAAAAGTGAAAGCTTTCCTTGTGCAAGAAACATATCCTGATAATTGTGAGCTGAACAAAAATTGCAGAAAATGTAGACCATGTTAAAATAGGTAGAAGAAATTTCTTTTGACTTGATCTATCATGAAATGTCACCACACCAGTGATTGTTCGTATCTTCTAAAATTTCTCTTCTAGCTGAGTTCAAGAGACGTCAAACTATTTTTAAAATGAAGAAAATTCATAGAGTCCGATTTTTGGACACTTATTTTATTGATTTTTAACAGGAAGTAGAAATCAAAAATCACCTGGATGAAGGTTTCCAATAATCCTTCTCTCATTTGAAAAGCAAAATTCACTCATCAAATTCATTCGTACTGTGAACTTTCAGGCGCATGTGCTGACTTTTTATTTTGAAACTAACTCGAACACTCCAACATGTAGTTGGTCGGAGAGTTTGGAAAATATAAAAAGTTGTTCGAAAAAAATGATTTTAAGAAAAATGTAAGACGCTTTGTCCTTTAAAAGTGCTATATTTCTTCGAGAAGTTGATCTGAAGATAATGTGTATATACCTATGAGTCATTACACGAGAGCTACGGCAGACGGTGCTTAAGAGACAGTCCATAAGTAGACCGCATTTTTCTGATATACCTCCTACCTTTTCGATGTCAAAATTCGTTGAATCCAAGCCTGATCTATTCGAGACAGCTCTGACAAGACCATTTTGCATAAGATTATTTTAAGATTGTTTAAAAATAATGGAGGATTTTGCAGCTTTCAGACTTAAGATCTCATGTGATAACGTTACACGAAAGGACAAAATATTACAAGATCTGCTGACAAGGCATCGTATAAACTTTTGAGATGTTGTAAAGGCCGATTAGTAAGAATATTGATTCGTATTTATGTCTTTTCATAAAATCCTGTAAGATGATGCAAAAAGCAATGACATTTATATTACATAAACTTTACTCAATACGCCAGACGGAAGTGCCATGAAGTTTAAATGATCCTGCAAGTTCTTGTTATCAATTGGTTAACCTAAGTGTGAAATTTTATTTTATCTCCGTTCGTATCCCAAGTGTGGCTCATTTTCTGTTATTTTTTTTTCGCTATTAACACTGTTCAATCTCATGAGCTTTTTCTTTATTAAATACACTATATTCACAGTTAAAACACTGCAAATACAATCAACAACAACAACAAAACAAGACAGAGGGTGTTTCTGTTGGTAGTTGCACATAAGAAGAAAAAAAAAACACATTTTTCTTTTGATAAATACAGAATTACTTGATACAATAGCTAGTGCAAAAATAATAAAGGTATCTGACTTATGGAACATCAACATAAAAAAACTGAGCTGAATGACAACAAAAAAGAACTAGTTCGAAAAAAATCCAACACAACATGATACAAAATTTACTAAAATGAAAACAAAATATTTAAGGCAAGAAATTTTTATTAATACACGTGATGGGTTTATTAATCATATACTAGTCTAAGAAATCAACAGAAGAATAGGAGAGGAAAAGGGCAATATAAATTGAATTTTTCTCATGAAAGAAAAGCGTCGACAAAATTTTCTCTCCGTATTAAACTATACTACTTTCTTCTTTTACAAGTCTTCATATGGATTACAAGACTATCCAGATGTGCATAGTATTAACAGTACATTTCTTTCCAATCTCGTCAAAATCCATACTCGCCTGAGCTTTGTTTCGCTTCTCTCTCTCTCTCTCTCTCTCTCTCTCTCTCTTATTAACTATGTTTTCAGTTTGCTTTTGGTGAAGAGGAAGAAATTACTGTTACGCATTCATTTTATCAGTAGAAAAAAAACACACACAGAGAGAACAAAATCAAGATACATCATTTTTTGATATATACAAATCGGCTAATTTATGAAATTTCGGTCCCCAGCCGTTTAGATAATCAAATTCCATATCTTGTTCACTGTCTAGATTATCTTTTGATGTTAGACTTAGTGTCGATAATGAAAAACATTTATCTTCACCTGTACCTTCAAAAGCATATTCTTGTAGTGAATCATACGGTGGCTGTGATGGATCATCATCAATGTCTTTAATACGATTTTTAATAAAATCGCCAACATTTATAGTCCTCTGACCATCACCGTTTGTCATACCTTTTTGTGGTAATGGTTTTATTAATGGTGGTATGTCTTTACGAATGACTTTTTTCGTTGATACAATAGGTGGATCAGTGCCACCACTATCCGTAACAGTTTTTGATAATAATGGTTTTACTTCCGATTCGGAATTCATTCGTCCACTACGTGTTTCCGAATCATTTCGACTAGAACCACCAAGGCGGCCATTTGCTGCATTACTCTCATAAATTGGTTTTTTTAATGTCGATATATCATATGTTATCGGATCTTCATCCGGACAACCTTCTTCATCGTAATTAATTATATTATCACGAATTTCATCATCCATACCTAGAAGACAATGTTCAATTCATTCATTTCTAATAACATTACGAGAATCTCATTGATACAAACCTAGTATATAAGCTTTTTTTGCTTGACGTCGTTTCGTAAATGCAATTAATCCAAAAATTAATGCCAATATTATAAATAAACAAATCATTGACAATATTAGAATATGCCAATTAAATGTTCCACTAATTGGTAATGCATGTTGTGTACATCGTTCACCTTGATAACCATCAAGACATTCACATTCAATCTGATCGATTTTTGCTTCATAATAACATCGTCGTGTACCAGGCATATAACATGGATTTGTTACATCAAAACACCAATCATATTTTACACATGTATCATTTGATTGAAAATATTTTAGATCTGGTGGACATGAACAAATACCATGACGCCACGTATTTACACAAAATGCGGGATGTAAACATTGAACACCACGACACCAATTATCCAAATTATCACAACCTTCTTTAATATTTGATTGAAACGTCCATTTCATATCCGATGAACTTGATCCGTTCAATAAATCTAACAGTTGACCATTATAACGTACGTCTTGAATACAACCATCATTAAAATCAGCCGTCACAATTTTATGAACAGCCTAAAATAATAAGTGTACTATTTTCAAAAACATAAATAATTATATATTACTTACTGAATCAATTCTTGCTCCCACATTTAACAATGTATTTGGAAAATTTTTCCAAATTGATTTTCCATAACTTATATTTGATCTATAATATTCTCCATCATCTAATTTTAAAAATAATCGTTGTCCATAACGATCTAAATAAGCTGTATGCCATCTACCATCATTTACTTGAACATGTCTCAATTCAATTAATTGTGTATCCGATTTTGATCCAAATCTTGCTTGTAAATGTCCCGCTTTCAATTCCAAAAACATAAATGTATCATCATTATGAAAATCGATTAATGTTAAAATTCTTTCAGATAAATCTCTTGTACGAAACATAATTTGAAATTTCATTGCATGAATATAATCATCAGGTTTATGTGTATGACGAAATGTGGCATACGATGCACGATCACCTGTCCACGTCATTTTATCATAAGTAAAATCGTAAGATTGAGCATCTTGTGAACACGTGGCACCCGATTTACCTGGTTTACAAACACATTGTGCCTGATAAAGATCTGCTTCACATGTACCATGTACACAAGTGAGTTGTGAACATTTTTGATCGACTAATAAACAACCTTCATGTAAATTCAAAGATTGACCACTATGTGAATCAACATGTAAATCATATAATTCATCAGCAAAACGTAAATTACGAATACAACCTGGAGTAAAAAACGAGAACTATTATAGCACCTTTTGTAAAACTATATTATTTATTATTTTACCTTTAAAATTTCCTGCATAATCAATTGGTAATTTTTCTTTATTGGCTACACCACCCAATTGTAATGGTTCATTTGTACTAAATATATCATCTTCAGCATATTCAATCATAAAACGACATTCATTTGTTTTTAATTGTTGTGGACAATAATCAATAATTATTTCTAAAATATGATCAATTGTACTTAATTGTCGTATCTCAATAGTATGCCATTTTCCATCAGCTAAATATGAACTCGATTTTAAATATCGTTTAACAGCTTTTGTACCAAAATTTAATTCAATTGATGGATGACCATTAACTAATTGTAGTGAAAAATAATCTTGATTTGATTGATTATTCAATGGACCATTATAAAGGAGAATACCATTTGGAGATTGTGTCAAAAAATCTAATTGTAATAACCAATGAGAACAAGTTGACAATGGTTTATACCAACCATAACCACCATTGTCTAAATAGATACGATTATCAATTAATATAAAAGAGATATAAATGAAAATATTACACTTACCATCGAATGATACTGTTGTTAATTGACATCGTTCTCCATTGTACAATGTTCCATGTGGACATGAACATTTCATTATATTATAATCACGTTGTGGATATCCTCCATTAAGACAGTATCGATTTAATTTTTGTTCTTGTAATTCTTTATCTAATTGATATTGAATATCTGTTTCACATTGACATTGAGCTTTTGAACGAATATGAAGTCCAATAAAAGCTGTTTCATTTCCATTTATCACATAATAAGGTTGTTTTGTAACAATTTCAGAACGTGAAATACAGCCCTTTTCAAAACATTGTTGATCAGATGTTAAACATTCATTTATACCTGAATAAGAAAAATAATGAATTTTATTTGATTATCTCCATATAAAATGTTAAGATAGTTACCTATTTGTGATATATTAAATAGATCTTCTAATTGTTCACGTCTCATATTAACTAATCCGTTAATTTTTACTTTCGATAAATATCCACTTCCATGTACCGCATAATAAACATCAATTGTTCGTGGTATATTTTCATGATCTTGAATTGAAAATATTTCAACATTACGAACATTTAATATATCACCGATAAGACGTGCAAATTCTTTATAATATGATTGACCAGCGGGCATATGACGTGTTTCAATAAATTCTTCAGCTGTTATATCTTGTAAACGAATTGATGCTGCATTTTCTACAGCTTCCGATGATAAATCATTTAAATGAAATTCTACAGTCGATTTTTGAGCATCACGTTGTAACCATTGAGTATATGTATCAAGAACGGATACAGTGAATATATGTGTGCCTAAAATAGAGATATTTTAATATTATTTATTCTAATCTCACATCTATAACTTACCTTGTTTTAATTGTGATGTGTTGTTAGTTGTTGGTGTTATCATATAAATTGCTCCTGGTGTTTTTGATGTTTTACCTCCTTTATCTACTCGAAAAAATTCTGATGACGATGTTAATAATTCAAATTCTTTTGTATGCATATCCCAATCATCTTCATCTTTCGAGTAAACTGTTCCAATATAGAGTCCATTTGATCCTAATGAATTTATTGCTTTTATTAACTGTTGTTTATAATCATAGGCATTAATTTGTTTTTGTCCACTATGATGTGGATTATCATTAACATCTTCAACAATGACTCGCAAATAATTAATACCCGATTGTGTCTGTGGTTTTGAATTATCATTCATCCATATTGGTAAATCATAATATTTTCCACAATAAGGTTTTCCTTTCTTTGTCACTACTGGACATAATTCTTCACGATCCAATACTTTTAACGTACTTAATACTCCAATGGGACCAAAAGAATCTGATGTTACATCCAGACGAAATTTAGGTTCACCATCTTCAGGCCACACATTTTTTGAGCCTAAAATAAAATTAAAATAAATTTATATTTAGTAAGAATAGTAAAATATAATTATTTACCTAATTTAAATTCAAAATTCATTGGTGACGTTTGTTCATCGGGATCAGTGGCTCTAAATTCTAATATTTTCTTTGGTTGTTCATGTTCACGAATTCTTGGCTGATAATTTTCAGCAAATTTTGGAAAATTATCATTAACATCCAATATGTTTAATACTAATACTGCACGTCCAATTAAAACATTTGTACTTTGATTATTTACAGCTTCTAAGGGTAAACTAATAGTCGATGATTTTTCACGATCAAAATTTTTTTTCAAATATATTTTTCCATTCAACGTATCCATACGTAAATGTTGACGATTTTCATATTGTTGACGATCGGGTGGTATACGAAAAATAAATTCTTTATTCACCGGCATTACATCGTTATCCGTTGCACTCACTTGTAAAATTTCTGAATTAAGCGGTGTTGATTCACTAATATTAACGAAATAGACACTCTGAGAGAAGACAGGTGTATTATCGTTAAAATCGGTGATAAAAACGGTAACATTGGCATAATCGAACATGCCACCATTAGTTGCTTTTACTTTGAGTAAAAATTTTGTTTGATTATCAGGTGGATCATAATTAACTGGTTCTAATAGAATGATTGTTCCTTTTTCTGCTAATGATGTTTCTTTAAATATGAAATGTTTTGGTTTTGAACATCGAATCATTGTTGTTTGTCGTTGCTGTTGTTGTTCACCTGGAAGTTGACATTCTTCAATAATTTCATAAATAGAATGTGTATTCACTCCAACATCATCATCTTCTGCTTTAATTTCACTAACAAAATCACCACGTTGTGCTATTTCCGATATTTGTGCTTGTATGTGCGTTGGTTTAAACCGTGGAGGTTGATCATTGACATCATCAATGATTATTGTAATTTTTAATTCTTTTGATTGTAAATTACCAGCAGGATCTCCAATATCTCGAGCAATAATTGACAAATTATGATGTGGCGTCTTTTCACGATCCAAATAGTTGTCAACATTCAAATAAATATCCGATGTTAGCTCGTCGATGCGAAATACATCTTGACCATCGATCGATTTTGTATTTAATGTTAGAGCATAACGGGTAGTATTTTCTGATAATTTATCGTAATCTGTTGCACGAATACGTAAACCTATAAAATGGAAAGAGAAAAAGTTTCTATAAAATGGATCACAGAGTATAATAATTAAATTTCTACAGTTATGGGGATTATGCAGGCCGATTAACTCCCATATGCAATAAATGGCTAACAAAATACACTCAACTCGCCCTAAGTCATATTATTATTATCATATTATTATAACTATAATTAAAGAAAACATAAAACAGACACAAAAAATCTGCACAAGGCTCTCACCAATTTATTGGGATATTTACTTACAAGGAAACCTCCGCAGATGTAATACTTCATTTCCAATGATTTATGTGCCGATCGATAGAACATAGTGAGCTAGTAGAAACGCTGTCTAACAAGACAATCTCCCCAGATGTAACACTCTATTTCCAATAATTTATGTGCCGATCGATAGAGGATAGTGAGCTAATAGAAGTCCTACAAGGATTTGGGCTCATGATACTTCTTTCAA